CATCAGGCAGATAGTTAGAAACACTTTATTAGAGGTGGAAGGAGTATTCAGAGCTTGTACTTGAGTAAAAGTAGAAGACTAGAAGTACTCAGATCTTGTACTTGAGTAAAAGTAGAAGTACTCTGATCTTGTACTTGAGTAAAAGTAGAAGTACTCTGATCTTGTACTAGAGTAAAAGTAGAAGTACTCAGATCTTGTACTTGAGTAAAAGTAGAAGTACTCAGATCTTGTACTGGAGTAAAAGTAGAAGTACTCAGATCTTGTACTTGAGTAAAAGTAGAAGTACCAGAGTGTAGGAATACTCTGTTACAGTAAAAGTCCTGCATTCAAAATGTTCCTCAAGTAAAAGTAGAAACGTATTCTCATCAAAATATAGTGAAAGTAGCGACAGTAAAAGTAGTCATTGTGCAGATTGGTCCATTTCAGAATAATAGATATGATATGTTTTATAAGATTGATCATTAAAGTGTTCTCAAAGCTGGTAAAGGTGAAGCTAGTTTGAATGACTTTGTATACTGCAGGGTAGCTTGTGGATTTACTCCAGGTGGAACTAAAGTCTGATTTAACACTTGATTATATTTCACATCATTCATCCAGATCTGTAAAGTAACTAAAGGTGTTAAATAAATATAGTAAGTATGTAAAAGTATGTGATTTATCTGTGAGTAAAAGTATGTGATTTATCTGTGAATTGTAGTGGAGTAGAAGTATGTGATTTAGAAGTAGAAGTACAAAGGAGTAAACAATACTGAAGTAAAACTCAAGTCCCTTAAAACTGTACTTAAATATTATAGTAAATCTAGCCACTGATTATGTGCGTGTTCATTAAAATGTACCCCAATGTTTTCAACTTTGACACATCTTATCTTACCGATACTTTCCCATTGGTGTGTTGTAAGTGCATAAAGTGTTCTGTTCATTGAGATGCGTGACTTGACTTCAGGCCTAACCCTGCTAGTCAAACCAGTTCTGTAGCCGTGATAATGACTTCCCTGGGGCTGCAGCTCCGTGACATTCCCCTCCGAGGTTCTGGTTCAGCCCTCCACAGACACACAAGTTATTCCCCCTCCTGTCACCTTAAGACACGGGGGTTCGGGGGAGATTGCACTTTGTGTAAAGTACATCTATAGCAGTGTGGAAGAAGAAGTTTGACACATCATATCATCTTTTTTTGAGTAGCACAGAAGAGATGGACCAGCTATCGCCCCGGTCCGCAGTGGGCAGTGAGGATGTTACAGATGACTCCACGTCCATGCTGGATGTCCAGTGGAGCTCTGATGAAGAATTGGTACATTTAAAACTATCCAGTAAACACACATCTCCTGCTGCTTTTATATACATTAATTTATAATAATGTATGACATGGAAACTCTTTCACAGCCCTCCTGGGGGGCATGTTTCCCCTCACACAAGTGGGACTGCTGTTTCCTTCATGATGCAAAGCCCCACAGGCTCATAATGCTGTTTATCATCCTCTGAAAGTCACAGGAGATCATTTCAAATCTCATCCTGTCTACACTTTTTAACCTCAGATTAGAATCACGCACAGGAGAACGACTTGTTCTGCTGAATAAAATATGGACGTTGCCTTTGTCTTTCTCTCGGTGTGTGTAATGTTTGAATGTCCTCCCTCAGAGCTCCTCCGACCCTCAGAGCCAGTGTCTCCCTGCTCCGTCTCCTCTGCCCAACTACAAGCAGAGGTTGGATGAATTCAAGAAGCTGTTCAGAGAGCTGCCCGAGTCCGAGAGGCTCATAGTGGGTGAGCAAAGTGTTTGTCTTTTTTAAACCCCTTTATCTACATCCAACCCTTTTTATCTAAATATTTGCTATGGTGAAAACACATTTAAAAATAACTTGGACTATCTAATGACACAAAAGCAAAAAGAAATTTCCTCTACTTTGGAGACCCGAACATCTAGGATTTCTTTTTTTTAAAATAAATACTAATTACCGTAATTTTCGGACTATAAGCCGCGACTTTTCCCCCATTTTTCGACGCTGCGGTTTATATAACGGAGCGGCTAATCTATGGATTTTTACAGCTAACGGCCACCACCTTTAACTCTATGGGCTCTATGGCCGGTCCGCGGACCCCCACCTTTAAGCGGCGGGTTCCAGCAGGAAAAGCTGGAGGCCGGAAAAGAGTGAGACAGGTAGCGCGCAAAAGTAAAAGTGGAACCGAGAGTGGTATGCCGCTGCTGCGGCTTATATTCAGGTGCGCCTTATAGTCCGAAAATTACGGTATTTATCGGCTTCCTTAACAGATGCACTTTTCTCAGAATAAGAACTCACATTTTTACATGGAGTATAGGTAAATCACAACAAAGAAACCAAACCACCAATAAAGAAAACCACAAACATCTAAATGGTAATATATTTAGAGTAAGATGAGATCACTGTCCAAATATTTATCTTATAATCCAACTCAATTATATCTGAAGACACACTGTGAAAAATCCCACACACATCTCTCAGTGTTTCATTACAGATAAACCACTGTTTTTATTAAATGGGAACTGATCATGACTAGACATGTGACCTCTAACTCAGCATCATTACAAACCACAAGTATTGACTATGACTATGATTTCCAACACATCTTAATACTCTGGGAGATGGAGATCAGTTCATTTAATATTAAGTATTTATGGTCTGTTTCTTCCTCTGTTACCACAACATCTTTCCACTGTGACCTGTTTTATAAATACAAGCGAACACTCTTTTTTTAATTGACGGTTGCCCTGCGTCATATCTTCCCTCAGACTACCCGTGTGCCCTGCAGCGGGACATCCTCCTTCAGGGCCGCCTCTACCTGGCAGAGAACTGGCTCTGCTTCTACAGCAATGTGTTTCGGGGTACAAAGGTGAGAAGAGAGCGGAGGAGGACAGACAAAAGAGAGGAGGGAGTTTCAGTCTAGAAGCAGACTGTGTTCACATTACTGCAACAGCACATGGTTGGACCTGAAGACACATCTGTAACCATTTCCAATAGGATTATCTCATTCCCACTGCTCGCATTATACTCTCTTTTTAGAGTAGAGTAGAGTAAGAAACGTATAGAGTGTGAAGATTTTAAAATCCACCATTAAACAATACATTTAAACAAATTGAACCCAAAAAAAGTTTGATATCTGGTCCATTTTTTGGAAGATATATCGAATGTTCCTGTCAACAGCGAGAGATTGTAGTTTACACCACGTGCAACAGTTTAAATAGAGTACAAAATAACAAGGAAGACACTGTAGCTACAACACTTGTGGCAGTGTGTGTGAGTTATGTCATGATGACATCACCACAACATAACTCAGTGGACAACGTAATGGTTTCCAAAACTAGATTATTTTCTTTACAGCACCCTTTTATAAACATGTGTGTGACCTTTAACCTCTTTTCTAGATTACACTGACTCTCAAAGACATCACGAGTATGACCAGAGAGAAAACTGCTCGTCTAATTCCCAATGCCATCCAGGTCTGCACGGCAACAGACAAGGTATACCGTGTTAGAGAAGAGACTGATCAATTTAGATTTGATTTGTTGTTGATCTGTATTTTTGAAAATTATGTAACTTGTTTTTTTTTTAATCTTTTTTTTTAGCATATTGTTTATTATATTATAACTTAGTACTTTTTTTAGCGCATTTAAGATATGCAACACTAAGCTGTCTGTTGCTCTTTCCATCTGTTACGCTGCAAATTTCCCCTCTATGGGACTAATAAAGGTATTCTGATTCTGATTCTGATTATAAGAGCCCAATTATAACTTTGTTTCTCTTCACACCTGCAGTTCTTCTTCACGTCCTTCTCAGCAAGAGAGAAGAGTTACCAGGGAGTTTTCCGCATGTGGCAGAACACCCTGTTGGACAAGGTACGGCCCTGTACAGTCTCCTCCTCCACTGATCATGCCGTTTTCATATCTCGAGTCATTTTTAGCACAAACCCTGTCAACACACACTTCTGTTGTACAATCATTTGACTGCTGTGACTCCCACAGCACCAGCAGGCTTTAAAACATTCTGCTTATGTAATCGTTCAGAGTACATGAAGCTGTCTTCCTCTGAGGTTATCATGCAGGGTAAAGATCTGCACGCAGCGAGGTTTGTGCATGAATCCAACACAGCTTTTCTTCATCGTTCCACATACGGAGGAGTGTTTTTATCTGTGTGCGTGTCAGGAATATAGTTAAACCTCCTCAGCTTGACGCATGTATTTGTGTTCAGCAGTCTTTGCTTTGCAAGTTAATTTCCTAGTTTGAACACTGCAGGTGCAACCATGTGAGATGTTGTACAGGAGTTGAAGTTGGAGGGTAATAACTCAATTTGTTGATAATAGTGTTGCAATATATGATAAGTTGTTTTGGGAAAGAAACTTACTCTTCAAGGAACACAGGGATTTTAGCCATTGCAGACCATTTACATGCACTAAAGCCAATATAACACACTACAGGGATATAATAGGGCCCCTTTAATATAAATTCGCCCTAAGTATGTCAGGGAAGTAGTTTAAAAGGAAACCAACAGCTAAGCATAGGCAGCCTTATTTGGAAAATCGGCATATATTAAATAGATCCTATTAAATGACTATGGAGGCAATGTACAGAAGAAGAGGAACCATGCAGCCTTGCCTACACTAAACTATTCTTAAAGACAGGCACTATGGCAGCCTACCCAGGGGGTGTAAGTCTCCAGGGATCCGCAGCGCAAACACCTGTTTTTAAAAACACCAGCTTCAGAGTTCATTGACCTCAGGTGAGGCAATGAGGGCTCATTTGGATTCTGCCTCAAACTGCGCTGCACGTACCGGAGACTTTTAACGGAGTCGCGTCAAAACAGAGGAGTTTTTTTCTTGGCATGTGAACTGTCACTGAACCGGAGTGTTCACAGGTAGAACAGCAGCGTTTATTTACATTTTATCACGGTGTTAATCAGGGGAGGTGCGTCTTGAGACCAGCACTTCCTGACTGTGCGTCCAGGTTCAGATCAGTGTCGGGGGTGAAGCTCACAGCTGCGGGGAAATGGCCTCTGACAAGTAAGGAAAAGTCTTTGTGATTGGATCTGTAACTTTATCTGGGATTTAAATGCGATAGATCACCGTATGTGGTTTTATATTTAAAAAAAAAAAAAAAACGTAATTTCCCCGTCGGATTTTACGCAAGGAAGGGCGTCGTAATACAGACTGTTTATATCCCTCCGCCATATGGAACCGCGCATCTTGTTAAAGTATGTTTGTTAAGTTGCGCTTCTATAAGTTTAAAGGGTTTGAGTGGTTGACAACTGGTTGGTTGTTTGTCCCCCATGGAGATAAGACTGTAATGGTGCTGTGTGGAGGCTGCATGTTTCCAGGTTACCTACTTTAGACTTTGAGTCACCTGCAGTTTATTGTTCATATTATGGTTTCTATCTGTCCTTTTTATTATGTAAGAGGAACAGATATGGTTTCCAAACAAGCCTTGATATTTCCATGTCTTCTCTTCCAGCCTCTAACCAGCTTGGAGTTGTGGCAGATGGTCAAACAGCATTATGGGAATGACCTGGGTCTGAGCCATGAGGAGATGGATAGTTTACACATGTCAGAAACAAGCATGCATACCAGGTAGGTTCAACTTACACACACTCATACTGTGCTGTCAGTGGTGGGAAGTAACTAAGTACATTCACTCAAGTACTGTCCTTAAGTACACTTTTGACAAACTTGTACTTTAGTATTTGTATTTTATTCTACATACTTGTATTCCATATTCTATTTTGTTGGCAATTGTTGTACTTTAAAAAAATGTTTATGTATAAAAACACATGATATTTGATAAGATGTGGTACCGTACTGCTAATATACCTACTAGTATTTTACAAAGTACATCATTAGTAAATTGGCTGGTTTAAATGCCCCTACATGTATTTATAAAAACAGGATAATATGATATCGTAAAAACAGTTATTTTGATACTTGAAGTACAGTTTGCTGAAAATTATTCTGCATTTCTACTTGAGTAACATTTTAAATTCTTGACTTTGACTTAAGTAAAAGTAAAAATACTAGGGTATTTAAATACTTAATTTTAAGTAAAGAATGTGTGTGTGTGCAGCCTGCAGACAGCGAGGCCTGGTGGTGATGAGGGTGTAGGGAGGCTCGAGCGCCCGCCTTCCCTTCGCCTCCCCGGGATGGAGAACGGGCCTTATGGAGGGCCTCCACTCCAGGACGAACTTCCCTTCGAACCGCTCGGCTCACAACAACCTCTCAACATGGTATTACATATTATCCTCTATTATACGTTACTGCTGCATGCTGCCAATTCACTGTGCTAGCTAGCCAAATAGAAGTGTGATGTTAAATAGTGTATGTTAACATGTTCTTGAATGTGACAAAGAAAATTTAGCCTTTGCACCCACTATTTACATGCACAACAAACTATATAACAGACCACAGGAAATGGAACCCCAAAAGCATAATAGTTCCCCTTGTAATCTATTGTTTTGATCTCTCTCCTACAGGAAGACGCTCGCAGCCCCCCTCTCAGCGGCGCATCCGGCTCCTCGCTGGACCGCCTCGCCCACGAACGGCGTCAAGCGCTCGTCGCTTTCTCTCGACCTCAACGCCAAATCAAACAACGCGTCCGAGCAGAGCGGCTCAGAAAGAATGAGGATGGTAAGAGGAGTCCACTGCGTGTAATACTTCCGCTCATTTTCTTTTGTTTGTTTAATATTTTCTCTCTCTCTCTCTCTCTCTCTCTCTCTCTCTCTCTCTTTCTAGTGGAGGAACGAGTGGTAACGTCCGAGGTCCAGGGTCGACTTTTTATAAACAAGGTGTTCCACATCAGTGCCAACAAGATGTTTGAGCTGCTGTTCACCGACTCCAGCTTCTTCCGCAGGTTCATGATCGTCAGGAAGACAACCAGTAAGTATTATGAAGGCATAACCAGTTCATGAGACAAATGTATGCAGCACTTCTAGCCCATACGATCTTTCACCTGTCATGTCAAAGTTGTTCTTTGTGTCATCAGACTCCAGCTCTACTGCTTGGCAGAAAGACGCCTCAGGACACATGAAGCGGAGTCTGAACTACACAATAAGTATCAGCAACCCCCTGGTAGGAAAATTCTCCACCGCTACAGAGAACCAGGTGTGTTTTATACCAGTGCGAGATGTGTGTGTACATGCTGCTTGAATTGATAAATAAACTTGCCTTTTTGTACTTGAATTATTTCTCAGACGCTGTACAAAGAATCCCGGGATGGTCAGTACTACCTCTTGGACTCAGAGGTGTACACTCACGACGTTCCCTATCACGATTACTTCTACACTCAGAATCGGTACTACATCATCAGCAACTCGAAGCGGAAGTGTCGACTAAGGTGAGATAACCTTCAGATTACTGTAGGTAGGGACTGTTAGATTTGCATAACATGGAAATCTCTTTTTGGCACCTCTCATAGGACGCACTATAACATCCCATCAGTGCGTGATACTCATCAGTATTTAACAATAAATAAACTATAATTACCTCAATGCGCTATCATGGGTTACAGTTTGCATCCATATCTCTTCCATTAGACATTTGTGGAAATAATAAGCAAATTCATTTTTCAGATAGAGCCAAGAAGGTGACGTGAGGCATTACTGACCTTTTAACACCAAATGTAATCAGTTTCTCCTCGAGTCCATGTTGTCCAAATTTGAAGAAATACGCTCATGGTGTTTCTAAGATATCATGAGAATGAGATGGACATGACTTCCCAGTGACCTTGAACTTTTGACCACCAAATCTAATCAGCTTATCCTTGAGCGCTTGAGTTGATATTTGTGCCAAAATTGAAGAAATACTGAGATATTATCATGTTCACGAGGATGGGACAGCGAGAGAATGCTATGCCTCCTGCCAGTGCTAATAAATGCACATATATATATATAAGAGTTATGTTGTTTTTCTGTCTTAAAAAGCAGCCTTGACACCTGGTAAGGGGCTTATGTCAGCTTATCTCTTGACTCTTTGCCATTTATAAATGTCTGTTGTGCTGCCAGGGTGTACACCGATGTGAAATACAAGAAGCAGCCATGGGGCCTGGTCAAGTCCTTCATCACCAAAAACTCCTGGAGCGGCATCGAAGATTATTTCCGACAGCTGGGTGAGTAGAGAGCCTTGTTGACAAAGTGTGGAGGCAGAGGAATGCACTTCTCTGTCTTCTTTCATTTATTTAATCTCTGAAGTGTTTCCTCCAACACACCAGGCTCTAATGCCATGATTGACTTTACTGCTGCTTTTGCAAGGAAGTATAAAAGCAGTATAATGGGCTATCAGCCAGTTTAAGTGATGTGTGCACTGAGCATGGCATTAATCAGGTCAGTTTCCTGCAAAGGTTTTTAGGTTTTTCTGCTGCAATATTTGTCAAATCAATCACAGAGTGTTCTAGCCCTTCAACCTCTGCCCTATATTTGCGTTTGACTCTCTGGCCCTGTGTTGACTCTGAACAGAGGCAGAGCTGCTGGAGGAGGAAGTGGAGATGAATCAAGGAGGTGGAGACACGGGGAAGATAGGTGGTCTTCGGAGGAGGAGGCGGACCTACAGCCGGACCCTGCCCGAGCACATGAAGCCCAACAAGCAGTACGGGCAAGACCCCGAACAGCGCAGAGATAGCAACATGGGTACATGACGTCATACTGTATAAAATAAGGATTATGTTTGTTGAGGAAAAATGTATGCAACTCTAATGTCTGCGCGTTGAATATGAAACTACAGCCAGGAGACAGTTAGTTAGCATGAAGCTAGGTGACTTTATTGACCAGGGAGTCGCTGTGCGCGAAAATCAATAGCTTAGCATTCAACGCCATAAAAATATGATGTTCCTTTTTAACATTTCCTTTTTTGTACAAAATATCAAACAACACATTGTTTGTTTAAACTTCAAAGCGGCTGCTAGGCAGAGTTTGTTACCTACAAACAGCGAGACTAACTTCTAGTCTTTAAGCTAAGCTAAGCTATGCTACTCCTTGCTCTTGCTTCATATTTCATTACCAGATAAGAGTAGACCTCTTTTATGTATGCACATTTTGTCCTGTAACATCACACTATATAGTTGAGGCTGCTTAGTTGAGATTTACAAATTATCACATTTGTTTAAATATGTTTATGATGATGCTAAATGTGATTGAACTTGCGATTGTTCTACATTTCCCATTTTAACATAACAAGCATATATATATATTTGAACCATGGAACATATTCCCTTAATCTCAGTTGGTCAATCGGAGACGATAGTGCATCAAAAATCCAGTTTCTCTGCATTCTGTGACGAAGCCTTAAAAGATCAAATGTTATCGTGGAAGCTGCATGCCAGACAGCAGCAATGCTCCATGGACTTCTGTTACTCTCACTAGTTGCACCCTTGACACACCCACAACACGGCTGAGTTTGTGTCACTGGCTGTTGCAAAAATAGCAAAGAAATAGAACAACACAAACTTTTTATAATGACTGCAGCCCAGGTTTTGTTTTCAAACAGCCAGCACAATTACAAAAAGAAAATCTCTTATTTATTGATCTGTTCTGTTGTATTTCAGGCCCCATAGAAATGAACAGCCCGCACGGATGGAGCTCCACAACATTAGTGATTGGGATGAGTTTGATGTACGTTACCAACCTGAAAGCAATGTGGTTTGAATTGTGTAAAGCTTTCTGAAGTGTCTCTTGAGTCATTATGCAGTCAGATGAAACTCTGTTTTCTTCTCTTACAGTTTGCTGATTCTGACGTTGATGAATCTGGGTCTGTTTTTCAAGTTGTGGGCCATGGAGGACGTAGCGCACCGCATGTACCTGAGCACCAAGCATCGGCTGAGGGAGAGGAACGAAGCCCGGTCAGAGAGCTTTCTGTTGCTTTTGCACAATATATATGACTTCCCCCTTCAGTTATCACGTGTCAGACAGTAGCTCAATTACTAGTTGACACAATCACACGGGAAGCAGACGCTTCTAATGTGGGAGGAGAGGGGGGAAGGGGTTAGTCTTCCTCAACTTTTCTCATAAGAACACTCATGAGCGCTCTTATCTAATGACTCATGTTGAACCTGTCTGTTTCATTAACATTAGTTATGTAAGTGACATCATCTTGCTCCTTCCCTTTTACCTGCGCTTCACTTTGTGACTGCCTCAGTTGTTCTGCTTTTATGTGTTTGTCGTAATCAATGCTTTCTTATTTTGTTGTTTGGCAGCTTGGCCCCTGATTACATGCCCAGACAGGGACCAGAGTACCAGAGCAGAGAAGACGCACAGCTGCTAAAAAATGTCCTGCAGGACTCCATCAACCTATTAGAACAGGTAGGACAGGCTGCACTGCACAATACACTGTTTTCTTTGCATGAAAGTTCATCATATGCTTTTGGAACGTTGTCTTGTAGTTCGGAAGCAGATGCATGCAGCTTGAATGTTTCTATCTCCACAACCAGTGGGAGTCCATCTCATTCATTCATAGCTGTTTGTCGTGGCTGTTCATCCAAGATATAGCAATTCAAAGTATATGCAAAAAGTGGCTCCTTTTTCAAAAACCTAGAGCAGGTGTTGAGTCATTTCTTCTTCTCCTCTTAGCTCCGCAGCTCTCTCTTGGTGCTGCACAAGAACTTTGGGATGGCCAATCGTACGGCAGACCCAGAGTGATGCTCCTCCCCTGGGCGTCTGCAGAGATCCCCGGCCCTGTGGAGGATAAAAAAGGACTGCGGTAATGAGCTGCCTCTGAGGAGATCTCTGTGATGTTTCCATGTTGACGTCCCCAGACTCCTGACATGAGTTCCCAGGAGTGATACGTCCGGGGCGGGGCATCAAAAGCAAGCGTTGTGGACTAACAGCTGAGTCGGACACACATGGATCACTATTTCCTTAAACAGTGGCGTTGGATATCAGAAAAAGCCTTCGTTATGTGCCTTCCTCTCCACTGATGAGCCATGCCACGCCAAATTAGCTATTGTAAAAAGTTTTATTTTCGTTTAAGTGATTTCATATTATTTAAAACCTATTTTCTCTATTTACATTTTTTCACATTTTAATTGTTGAACAGGTGCCTTGTAGGTTAGGCTGTGTTTTAGATATATTTGTAGGTAATTTCCTTTTTTATAAGAATAAATATTTTAGAATCAGTGATGATTTATCTTGTTTTATATTATGTACACTGCAGGAAACATTTAAAACGGTAAAATATTTGTATTATACTGTTTATGAGCCAAATCAGGTGTTCAGGAGATACTGTTTTTTAACGCATATCAGCACTTATTCATCTTCCTGTACAGGTGTTATCACTCTTGTATGTCCTTAAGTTAAATACTTGGTGAAGGGTCAGTGATGCTGTCTCAGGTCATCTCAGCACTATCTTACTGTCGACACTAAATTACACTCGTTCTGTGATTTCTTTAATTGTTTTCGACACACCACTACTTTAGCTTTGAGCCTTGTTTGATGTTTACAGTGTTTCAATCACCCATATCTGTGTGTTTCTGCAGACCACCACCAAATGATTTGTATATATGTAGCAATAATGCTGTTTTAATAAACAAGATTTCTCGCAAAAGTGAATCTCGAAGAGTCAAGTTTTATACATTACAACATATTATTAATGTCAACAACAGCAGAAGACATTCTTTTATTTTCTTTGACCAACCCAAAAAGATAGTTTACTTTATTTAGAAATATGAGATGCTGGAATCAGGTACATTTAGCCATTTTTACTTGCAAATATGAATCAGAATACAGAGAGAATCTGCATACTAAAAACAACTAATGATTATACATAGGATATTAAATAGTACCTTGAGTTGGGAATAACCTGTTTCGACCTTGCCCGGGACAAAGGGAAATAACCCTTTCTCTCTTTTTTAAACATCTGGTTACACTAAGGGCACTGGGAAGTATTTAATTCAATCAGGATTACTGACTATTGTTTTGTTTGTTATTTATAAGGCTGTTAGGAACGTCCTGTACTCTGCTGCTGGATCAGAAATGGAAAACAAAGTGTCGTTGTTCCTTCATCACAGGTGAAATACAACACTGTCTTTAATTATTCACAGGTGGCAAGTCCTTATTTACTCCAGGAGTAAATACTATAGTGTATGTCAGTCAGTCTATCTGCAGTAAGGTCTCAGTTGTGTACAGGATGGTATTTTCTCTTTAGTGGTTCCAATGAAATGTTATTGTTATATCTAGTTTTGCAAAGTTACTTAGCAGACTATATTTATTCAGCAGTATGTTGAATGTATAATATAATTCATACAACATACAATTGAAATAGGCTACATCAATTATTATTCCTTGCAAAAACCCTTCTCATGAATAGAGAAATACAAATTGAGTCGTAAAAAGAGTGCAGTCTGAAATCCTATTTTTATTTTATTCGGGATTTACTACAAAGTCATTTAGGACTCACCTATAGCAAGAAGTGACATGATTATTATTTTTTTCACAATTTACGTCTTCAGTGTATATGAAATAGTTAAAAACACATATATACAAATAAAATAGGCATGATCTCACACATGACTAACTGGGAGGTCCAATCATGACGTCATGACGTAAACAGTTTGGGGGCGTGGCCACATGACGTCTCCCTCACCTCCATCAGCGGAACCGGATCCGGACCAACCGACAGGACCAAACCCGGTGTAAGACCCCTCTAACCGGGACAGTTTTAAAACAGACCGGTCTTTAGCCACACTTGCGGTTTTTCTGGAGACTTCCACCGCCCACTGAGGGTGATGTAGCTCAGAGAAACCCCGAGCTGTTACCGGGGAGAAGACTTCCGTAGAGAAGCCCGGTGTTCTCAAAGCACCAGCATGTGTAGGTATGTTGACGCTTTTAGCATTTGTTGTGTGTTTCTGCTGCCTCATTTAAGAGTTTTTAAAGCAGTTATGTGTTGTCAGGTTTGATACGTGATAGTATGGGTCAACTGTGACCTGCAGACGGACTGTCAGGAGACGTTAAATATAAATAACATACCTGTCAACTCAAGAAAAGCATAATAGTTCATGTATAAGAGCAATATTTGTATTTGTAGTGTAGGGAAATGAAGTGTATGGGTAAAAAGTATTCTACAAACCTTAATATGTTAACTAATATGTCCAATTTCCTGTTCATAATAAGCCTGCCTGACTGAATCCATGTCAACTTTTATGTTGACATGACAGTTATTGAGATTAAAGGGAACGTCAACTCAAAATACATTTAAAATATTTAAAATATATAATAAGTTATAGTTTCATTTGAGCTGAATTTCTAATAAACAGTACATTAAACCCAGGGCTTGATAATGGTCCTGTGAGGCCCTAAAAGCACCCAGGGGCCCAGTCGTCACATATGGAGGGTCATGCTGAACAGGAATCCTTTGACATAATCTGTAAAGGACTTTTTTAAATGACAGTTCAAAGGTAACTTTCTCAAACACTTTACAGGTAAATCTCTTGAAATATGACGTATTTGTCATCCTGAGCGGGAATCATCATTAGTGATTAATCAGCTGACTACTTAATTGATTGAATATTGACTGTTTTGTCTGAGATGTCTGAAAATAGTAAAAGAAAAATCACTATTTCCCTCTACTTCCAAAGCCCAATGTGTCATGTTTTTAACCACTTTTTTGAAACCTAAAGGCACTCAGTTAACTATCACATACAATTAAGAAAAGCAGAACATTCTCACAACCTAAAAGCTTAAAGTACCAGCTATCAAAATAGTTTTAGATTCATTGTCTGTCTTCCTACTGAGCTACATCCATCCTTCCTGCAATTCAATATATTTTGGGAGCTTTTCAATTTCCTGCAGCATTTGCAAAAATGGTACCGTAGAGAATCCCTTAGTGTTAGGAGAGAGCTGCTGAGCCCCACTGTCACGCTGCCAGTTCTTTTTTGTGTAAAGGAGCAGATGTGTTAGTGGATGCTGAACACAGTGCGTGCAGCCGTTTGTCTTCTCTTTATAGACTCTACTTCAAAGTTGCATTGAAGAACTCACCAGATAAATAGTATTGACTTTTTAACCAACATCTGAGGACTTATACTAAAACACAATGTCACGCTTTGATGGATTGCTAATCAGAGGCTCATTTAACAGCACCAGATCCCCAGAGACGTCGAACTGAGCCGAAGCATTAATCCCACTTAGCCTGTGCTCGGAGATGAAGGGGACACTGAGGACCGGTGATTGTTATAAATGCTTTCAATACCTCCGCTCACCTCAGCTCAGATCCATCAGAGGCGTGCAAATAAGCCAGCAGCGGTGGGACGGTTCAGCTCATCAGTAAAGCCTGACAGATGTGTGACAGATGTGAGGGGGGAAAGGTGGACTGAGTAGGGTCAAATAGGCAAGGTCTGTTCGCAATTTTGCAAATCTGTTTGTAATGCTTCTCCAGCTGCAGTGTATTTACAGTACGAGTCTTTTACTGTGGTTTTATCTATAACACTAATGTTTTCTTTATAGGCTGTAAGGCTGTCCATCATGAAGAAGCGTGGGAAAAAGCATCTGGAGGAGGAGGAGTCGTTGTGCTGCTGCGAGTATGTGAACAGACTGGGGGAGCGCAGCCATGTGGCCGCCTGCTGCTGCGACTGTGAGGACCTGGACGACGCCTGTGACCGGTGAGGGACATTTCCATCTATATTTACATGTACAACTGATCCATTGCTTATTTTTTTCTCTATGAAAAGTGAGTCACATTTCGTCCATCACAGTTATTTCAAGTGCTTGTTTTGTCCAATCAGCAGCCTGAAATTCAACTATATTCAATTTACAATGATATGAAATAGCAGAAAACATGAAATCCCCAAAGTGGAGAAGCTCGTACCAGCAACTGTTTGACATCTTTAAGCTCTGCGTGGCAATAACAATGTTGGTCTGTTGGTCGGTCGATCAGTAGGTCAACCACTCTGATCCAAACTGAAATATCTACTGTTATGCTTTTTGGGTTTTCCCTGTCCTGCAGTGCGTAACAAAATATGAACCTGAAGATTATCAGATTACGTCCTCTTCAAGTTTTTCTTTCCTCTTTCAGGTTTCTAAAGAGGGAGTCCCAGAAACCCGAGTCCCTGTCTCATGTGGCTGCAGTTTTCACAGACCGGATCCGAGTGCCCTGGCTGTGGGGGGGGGCTCGCAGAGTGGAGCTGTCCGTCATCCCTCCTCTCATCCTCCTCCCGGTGCTTCTTCACATCGCTGCCCTCCACTTCCTGCTGGGCGTGGTGTCTCTGCTCGCTCTGCCCGGCCTGGTGCTGTGGTACTACTACACCACCCACCGCAAGAAGGGCCGCACGCTGTTCTTCCTCAGCCTCGCCCTCTTCTCCATCGGGTACATGTACTTCTTGTTCCTCACCGAGGTGCTTCCCCGCGGGGATTTTGGTCTCTTTCAGCCGGCTGTTGTAACTTTAGGGGTCATACTCACCCTGGCGGCGCTTTTCCACACCAAGAGAGACCCTGGCATCGTGCGGCTGAACCTAGAGGACGTCCACAGCACGGTGACGTATCACAGCCCTCTGGCAGAGAGAGACTCTGCTGTGAGCGGGGGGAAACACGACGTGACGATGACTGTAGCCAACAGGGCGGAGACGGCGAAGCAAGGGGAGGCGGAGCTGCAGGAAAGCGGCCGTAGGAACTGGTGTCCCGTGTGCAAAGTGGTGCGACCCCCGAGGGCGGGACACTGTCGGATCTGTGGCGTCTGCGTCCGGCGTCTGGACCACCACTGTGTCTGGTGGGTCCCCTCACAGAGCCTCTCACTCCGCCTGTCTTCACTGATTCTCCCTCTCTGTCTCACATCTCAAACTCTGAGGTCTTCTTGTTTGTCATCTGCTCGTCTTTTCTGCACAAGTTTTTCAATAAATCTAAAAAGACTGAATGGGTGTTTGTCCTGGTCACACCTGTTGTGTCTTTATTAGCCATATTTGTGTGTTGTGTCAACATCACACTGATGCAGCTACTATAAACAGTTTCCTGCTTTCGTCCTATGTGTTTAGTGTACGATGTAAGATGTTTTGTCAGCCTGTCTGTGTACTTGTTTGTTTGTGCGTCTCCTCCCTCGGTGCCGGGCAGGATAAACAGCTGTGTGGGGCTGGCCAATCACCGCAGCTTCCTGCTTCTGCTCCTCCTCTTCCTGTCGACGTCTCTGTACGGGATCAGCCTGGTGCTGCGGAGCGTGTGTCCGGATCAGCTCCTCCTCACCGCCCTGCTGTACTGCCCCGGGGTCTACGACCAGTACAGGTACTGAGAAACACTCTGTAACTTTAAAGGGGACCTATCATGCAACTTTTTGATGTCTTTTATACATAAAGATGTGTCCCCGGTGAACTCACGCAGAGTCAGAAAATAAAACCCTCTCTCTTTTCCTCCGTACCCAAATCTCTAAAAACGGGGGAACAACGGAGCTGATCCAGATTTGCGTCCGATATGACGTAATATCTGAAATGTGGACCCACGGCCCTATCAGAAACGTTGCTATCAGAAACAATGCCCGACTGTTTTGGACGCAATATGGTCGGTGTTTACATTAGCATGGCTAACACTCAGAGCTAACCTGTACTGGAGAGCATGTGTGTGAAGAAGCAGGAAGTAGAAAGGAACTCACCTTGTGGTATAACCGGCAAGAGAGAAAGCCTTTGGGCTCCATACTGTTTCAGAGAGAATCCTTGATAATCCATGATATGGTGTTTCATCACGGCAGCATTTAGTTTAGACAGTAGCTGCCGGGTCCCGCATGAGCTCAGACCCCTCCTTTTTTTTTGTTATCAATTAAAGCTTTATACCCCGAGCTCAGCACTTTTGAAACAGGAAGTGAAATAGAGGGATATGAGGCATGGCTAGAATGGGTGATCTGTTTGGTATTTTGAGCAAAACACTTCATAGACATGTTTTTTATATATCTGAGAACTATGCTATTGCCTAAAAATAGCATGATAGGTGACCTTTAATAGGTGTGATGGGAACAAATGAGGATAGGGATCAGGGATTGATAGTTAAGTGATACAAAAGAAAAATGACAACTGACTTTGACAATTGTAGTGGACAATAACAGGTTAAGAGGGAACGTCAGAGGTGGTACTCAGATCTAATAGTAATACCACATCGTAGACATTTTTACACAGGGTTAAGTCTAAACCAACACAATGACGATTTTCCCCGTACATTTTTTAAGTGATGCCACATATCAATATTTCTGGTCGTCAGAAACGGTATAATTACTCAAAAAATATTAAAATCGTGTCAAATAGACCGTCAGACAGCATGGACAGC